CTCATTACCAACTCATTCCACAAACATTCACCAACATTCCTGCATAGACAATATACTCACCAACGACATTGAACACGTCACGATGTCTGGGGTAATTGATGATATGAATTCCCACCACAAACCAATCATAGCCATGTTCAACCTTTGCATGCCTATGAACGAAACTTCTTCAGACCAAAAGCTACTCCAACACTACAGCTTCTCCAAGAAAAATGTTGATACTTTAATTACAGACCTTGAATCCAAAGAAGACATCATGGCAAACAGTACCAACTTTGAAACCTTCTTTAACATCTTCACACATACAATTGACTCTAACTGCAAACTAGATAAACCCAAAGTCTCCAAAAGAAATCCAGTTAACAATCCTTGAATTGGATGACAGATGGAATTTCAGAAGCTATTTCAACTAAAGAGGAGCTGTATGATGACTGGATAGCCTCGAAAACGTCAAAAGAATTTAGTCCAGATGGAAATATTGATCTCCACACAAAATTTTCAAACTATCGTCGATGTCTTAAAGGTGTAATAAAAAGTCAAAAAAAGAAATATTACTGTACTAAGATTATGGATCATCAAGGAGACAGCAAAAAGACTTGGGAAGTTATCAATGAATTAAGAGGAAAATGCAAAAAAACCATAAAGCCTCAATTCTGTGTCGACGGAGTACGCATCACAGAACGTAGACTCATAGCCAACAAATTTAATGAGTACTTTGCCTCAATAGCGTCGAAATTGAATGAACAAGTTGATGGGGAAATGAAAATTGAGCCACTTCCTTCATTTGTTGAATTTTTACCAAAAACTAACCCAAATTCGATGTACTTAACAGACTGCACTGAGAGTGAAATATCTCATATCATTTCTGAGCTACAAAATGGCAAAGCTAGTGATTTCCCCATCAGTGTTATTAAAAAGGCCTCACACATTCTCAGCCCAGTGCTTTCCATACAATACAACAACCTTATGTCAACAGGATGCTTTCCCGCCATCCTTAAGATAGGTAAAATTAGCCCCATCTACAAAAAAGATAACGAAGAACACTTACAAAATTATCGTCCAATTTCCACTCTCCCAATTTTCGGTAAAATTTTTGAAAAGGTTATCTACTCACGGCTTTATGGTTTTCTCTCGAGTCAGGGAATACTGCACGATAGCCAGTTTGGGTTCCGAAAGGGTCATTCAACATCACATGCACTCAACTACTCTATTCACCACATTCAGCAGTCACTCAAAGCCGGTAATCATGTTTTAGGAATCTTTATCGACCTAAGTAAAGCATTTGATACAATAGATCACTCAATACTTCTCAAAAAATTAAACACATACGGGATCAGAGGACGGGCACACAAACTCCTGGAAAGTTATCTTTCCGACCGTAAACAATATGTTGGTGTGCTCAATGAAATATCTGATACTCTACCTGTGCTTTTTGGAGTGCCACAAGGGAGCTGCTTAGGGCCCCTTCTGTTCTTAATTTACATAAACGATCTTACAAACTCTGAAAAGAACTCTAAATTTGTTCTATTTGCTGATGACACAAATATCTTCGTCGCTGCAAAAAGTAAAAACCTAGCATACAAAAAAGCCAATGAAGTCCTAAATTCCGTACACCGCTACATGCTTGCCAATAAACTTCACATAAACACTGGCAAGAGCTGTTACCTTGAATTCTCAAACTCTCGATCCAACAAAGATGAAGATACACCCTCTGATCAAGAAATCAATATCAATGGCATACCCTTGGAGAGAGTACATGAAACTAAATTCTTAGGTGTAACAATCGATGAAGACCTAAACTGGAACGCACATAGAAGGAAATTAGCAAAAAAACTAGCCAGCTGCTGTGGCATGCTAAATAGAATTAAAGATAACATTCCCACATCACTCCATAAAGATCTATATCACACTCTGTTTGAAAGCTATCTTGCATATGGTATAACTGTCTGGGGAGGGGCATCTAACAAAAAACTTGAACCTCTGTTCAAAGCACAGAAAATGTGTGCCCGCATAATGTTTGAGATAAAGAAGCATACTTGGATAAATTTAAAACTAGTGCACGATGCAGACCCTACGGGGAGCAAATCTTGGGCAAGGAATTCTACAGAAAGGAGCATACAAAACCCCTCTTCAACACTCATGAAATCATGAATGTGCATAATCTGTACTTCTACCATTGTATTAATGACATCTTCAAGGTCTTGAAATATAGAACCCCTATATCACTATACTCCCTCTTTGAAACATCTGGCAGACTTGGCAAAGAGACCCTCATTCTCACACCTAAACCATCAGACAGCTACATATACAGAGCAGGGACAATATGGAATACAGTACGACAAAATCTCATGCTAACTACATTCACCTGTTATAAGCCCAATCACCTCAAATCATCCATAAGAATCACCATCACTCACACTCAAAAGGAAGGAGAACCAAATGACTGGAACTTAGCCTTAAACAGCGTTCGACAAAATTCAAAAACTTTAAAATTGACCTTGCCTAGATTACTTAAGCTTGAAAAAGCGGTAATATCTTAGCAAAATATAACTTGCAGCAGCCCCATACCTTGTCATGAACATAATATCGAAACTACCTCTGTGATCACATCTTTCTCTGGGTGCAAAATGAATATATATATAGGTTTATTAGTTTTATAGAAATTTAAAAGTTCTATAGAAATTTATTATATAAGGATTATAACATTTTGTTTGTGTGTTTTGTGTTATGCATTTTTATACCTATTTTAGAAGAGATTTTTATAGAATGTTACAAGTGCAGTAGGGTCAGTTTCAGACGAATTAAGCATAAATGACATCATTACCATGTCTGAAGTGGTTTGTAAATGGGTCATTGTTAGCCCCAAGCGTTTTGGTCCCTCATTCCTGCCACTCAGCATTGCCTACTGTAAAGTAGAAATTTTTCTAAGATAATAGAGAAACTGACCTTGTCTCACTAAATTCAACCACTTACCATAATTAAAATACTAACAACCAAATAAAGTTTTTTAAATAATTATATACAATCACCAAAAATATTTCCTCAAGTTTACTTCTAGCTAACTAATTCGTGGTTTAAGCTCTTATTTTATTTATGATTAAAGGAATGTAAAATAAAACTTTTCGTTTCATTGAAAACTTTTCGTTTCATTGAAAACTTTTCGTTTCATTGAAAACTTTTCGTTTCATTGAAACGCTTTGCTTAAGTCAATGAATATGCCAATTACATGATTCTTACTTTCTAGATTTTTAAGAATGTGGTCAATGGAGTAATTGATGGCATGTGCCGTTGAGTGGTTGGATCTGAATCCAAACTGTTTATCGTATATGACCATATGTGAAGTAAAGAAGCTATATAGTCGGCAGTAAATTACTTTTTCAAATATCTTACCAAAGATAGGTAGAATGGATATAGGCCTGTAGTTATCAAACAGCTGTGGGTCTCCTTTCTTAAATACGGGGGTGACCTTACCTATTTTGAGAATATTTGGAAATAGACCCAGCTTCATGAATGAGTTGAGGAAACCAGCTAGGTGCCTAGAGATTGTAGTGCAACATTTCTTAAGAACAGCTATTGATATGTCACTAGCCTTGTCACCCTGGAAGGTTTTAACAATTTTTTCGATTTCCTCAGAGTCACAGGGGTTTAAGAACATACTGTTGGTAACTCTTTTGTTAAAGTAGTTCTTATAATTAAGGGGCCTCTGGCAAGCTGTGTCACGACTTATTGGTTTGGAGGAGCAGAGCTTCGCATTAAGTTTACCTGCAATGGAAGAGAAGAACATGTTAAAGCCATTCGATATGACACGCTTGTCTTTTACTAAACTACCATCTATTTTGAACGAGGCCTTTATTCCAGTTTTTGTTTTTCCCCTCAGTTCATTGATCAGTGCCCATGTTTGCTTCATATTACCTGAGACTTTTGAGAATTTTCTGCAATAGTACAATTTCTTGGCAGATCTGATAATGTATTTTAACTGTCGACGGAATTTACTATAGGTTAAGTATAGATCAGAGTCTCCAAGAAAATTTGATTCTAATTCTAATTCTAATTCTAATTCTAATTCCAAGAGGGTTGGGTTCCTTAATTGTACTCTTCCACTGCTTGTAAAGATATTCTTTCTTTTTCACTGATGCAATGATCCCTGGTGTGATCCAAGGGTTTGCAATCATATTTCTTTTTGACTTTTTGAACGATTCAGATTCAATTAAAAAGTTTTCTTTGATCAAAAGTTGTATCTTATTTGCAAAAATTTCAAAGTTTTCTACGTTGTAGCACACCTGCCCACAAAAATTTGTTTGGTCATATTAGATTCACAGTAGTCGTATTTTGGTTTACAAGGGTCAAGTTCTGGTTCTTCAGGCATGCTACATTCGAGAATACAGAAAATTGGAGAGTGATGCGAAACCCTGGTATCCAGTAGTCCAGCTGACACAATATTGTCAGTGGAGTTTGTCAGAATATTGTCAATAAGCGATGGGACACAGCCTGGTTTATGGTGCGTTGCCAGTGATATAAGTGGGATGAAGTTATTTCCATATAAGATGTTTTCAAAGCTGGCAGAGCCTTTATTAAATAGATTAAAGTTGAAATCTCCAAGCAGGATAACGTTCCTATCAGGAACCTGATTAAGAAGGCTCTCAACTTCGTGTAGGGCATCTTTGTCAGATCCACCAGGTGGTCTGTATAGGACACCAACTGTTTGGGGCCTGCCAACATTTGTTATGGAGACAAACACTGATTCAAGGTTAGGGTCAAAAACCACATCAGAACACGATTCAGGTTTGATCTGCTACGAAGCACACTCATAGCACTCAGGGGAATCAGAGGAAGACAAAAAGCCCAGCACCTTGGACTGGATGACGTATCCTTCAATCTCATTCCTCAGAAGACGAGCTTTGAGGTCTCTTAAGTTTGTTTATATAAATTTTATAGATAAATTATTGTAGCTTCTATATTGTGTAAAATTTTACGGACGAAATGATCCCAGTTTTTAATACTTTCAACACTACTATATAACAAATAATTTGAGGTATGACACCCGGAGATATGACACGATCAAGAGATGTCAAGAAAAGTCCAGTGAAGGTCGATATGACAGCGGATAATGGAGAAATTGAAGAAGAAGAAGATCGTAGCTGTGAATGTAGAAGATATATTGCGGAGGAGTTTTCTTTGGCATGTGCAACTTGCGACATGTACTGGCACTACTGCTGTGTTGGGCTTACTGGATTAACGCAGGAAGAAGGTAACCACTTGACTAACTGGCGCTGCCAAAATTGCTTTATCTCTCCCCACATCAAGGGCACAAGAAGCCAGTCCACAAATCCAGACAGTGAAGAAACCAAGACCCTACGGAATGTTATTAGAGAAGAACTTGGTGCCCTTACTCCGTGTATTAGAGGAATTGTCGAAGATTCTGTGAGTCATACCAGTTCTTCTAATGATTCATCTGAAAAACCAAAAGAAATCACAAAAATTGTGAACCAGGCTTTCCAAACCTGGGCAGATGTTACTGCAAATAGTCAGAAGAAAGTTATTGAAGAAATGAGCCTACAGCAAGCTTCTCAAAGTGTTGTCAGTAAAGTTCAGTCAAAGATGCACACTGATGCATATGAGCGAAATTTAAGAAAGCTCAATCTGTGTGTTTTGAATGTACCAGAGAGCAAGAAAACTAACTCCAAGCTACGCCAGGAAGAGGACTCGAAGTTCTGCAAGGAGACACTAAAGATTGAAAAAAGTGACTTTATCAGTTGCCATCGTGCAGGTAAAGTGGATCCAGGTAAGCCAGACTCCTGTCGGCCATTGATCATCCAGACAGCTGACGAGGAGTCAGTTAACTATTATTCCAACCATGGCAAGGGCTGGAAAGAGTCATCATACTGGATAAATCTGGATCTCTGCAGAGCAGACCGAGAGATCCGTTTTTTAGCCAGAGAAGAGAGGAAGAAGAGGCGGGAAGAAGCAGAGAAGGAAAAGACAGAGAAGAAGGTGGAGAAGAAGTAAATAGCAGTAACAAAGAATGTAGTCAGCCCATGAATATATTTTATACTAATGCTAATGGACTATTTAATAAAATTGATGAACTAAAATGTATTCTATCAGTTTATAAATCCATTCATGTAATCTGCATTACAGAAACTCATTTTAATAGTGATATTTTAGATGCTGAAATTTTTATTGAAGGTTTTAGTATGTTTAGAAAAGACAGAGATTTTAAAATCGATAATTCCACTAGCAACATAAGTGGAGGTGGAGGTTCTATTATTTATATTAAAAACAGTTGTAATGCTTCATTAGTGAGCTCATTTTTAAAAGCACCAGACTCTTTAGCTATTAATGTCAATACCTCTGGTGGATTGATTAGTATTTGTTGTATTTATAGGTCTACTTCTTTGAATTTAAAACAGAATAATATGTTATTATCTTGCATCAAGAACATATCTAGTGAAAAGAATGTTTTTGAAACCATTATCATAGGAGATTTTAACCTACCTAATGTATCTTGGGAAACTGGTAGTGTAAATAGTGGTATTTCTAGTAAGAATCAGGTTTTAATGATTCAACAAAAGTATATTGATTTATTTAATGACAGTGGTTTGACGTGGTACTTTACTAACGAAACAACCAGAAGACGGCTTGTGAAAGATACTCTCCAGGAGAGTCTTCTTGATCAGGTTTTGTATACAAATGATGCTCTTGTCAACGGTTGTAAGATCGTTTCTCCGCTTGGCAAAAGTGATCATGTTGGGATACTTGTTGAACTGGTTGTTTCGCCCAATACTAACAAAAGTCCCAAACAAAAGATTTTAAAGCCTATTTGGGGTAAGATTTCCTCAGAAGAGTTATTTAACTTTAGTAAGAATAATATTGAATGGGATTATAGTTGTACAAATAATGTTCAAGATATGTGGGTTGAATTACATGGTAAATTGGAGTCTGTTGCTGCAGCTGTCCCAGCTGCTTCGGTTTATCTCGACAACAGACCTGTCAAGTTGCCATGGAGTACAACTTCACTTAAAAGAATGAGGAAGAACAAAGATAAAGCATGGGCTGAATTTGATATTAATCCTTCGGATATTAACTTTAGCTGTGCAAATAGCAAGCAGCATATTTTTGAGGTGGCAGAAATTAAAGCTAAAGTAAATTATGAAAAGAAGATTACATCTAATTTAAAACAGAATTGCAAATCTTTTTACTCGTATTTGCGTAATAAACGTCAAGTCAAATCAAGTGTTGTTTCTTTAGATAGAGGAGATGGTACACGCACAGATAGTTCATCTGAGTCTGCTGAGGTACTTGCTAGTGCCTTTAGTTCTGTGTTTGTGTGTGAACCACCTGGCCCTCTTCCCCAAAATGAGAGTTATAACAGAGAGGTTATTGATGATATGGAAATTAGTAGTTCTGATATCAAGAAGCAGCTTTTAAAGCTTAATGTTTTTAAGAGTTCTGGTCCGGATGGCGTTCATCCAAAGTTGTTGAAATCCTTAGCATACGATGAAAAGTTTGTTGAAGCTGTAACTGAATTATTTGTTAAGTGTTCAGAAACAGGAGTCCTGCCTGACATTTGGAAGACAGCATCTGTTGTAGCATTGTTCAAAAAGGGTGTTAAATCTGATCCCTTAAATTATAGACCTGTCTCTTTAACTTGTATTTTGTGCAAAGTGTATGAAAAGTTGGTGAGGGCACATTTATTAACATTTTTAGAAGAACGAATTTCAAAGCATCAGCATGGATTTGTGAAGGGTAAATCTTGTCTTTCTAATCTCTTAGAGACATTTGATAATATTCTTGATATTTTAGACGAAGGTGCTCCTGTCGATCTTTTGTATTTTGATTTTAGTAAAGCTTTTGACACAGTCCCCCACTTTAGACTTCTATCTAAATTGGAGGGGTTTGGGGTCAAGGGAAAAGTTTTAGATGTTATAAAAGACTTTCTGACAGACAGAACCATGAGGGTTTGTGTAGAAGGACAATGGTCTGAGGTGAAACACGTGTTATCTGGTGTTCCCCAGGGGTCAGTATTGGGTCCTTTGCTATTTATTCTTTATATAAACGATTTACCTGACAATGTTAAAAATAAGATTAAATTATTTGCAGATGATCTCAAGCTAGTTTTAATACTTTCAACACTACTATATAACAAATAATTTTAGGCATGGCTACCGATGAGTAATCCGTTGGAGTAAAGTCTGCCGGTGTCCTGGGTGTGATGGATCTGAGTTAGATGGCAGGTTGTGGAGGTGGTAATCGTTTCTTCCTATTGCCCTGGTAGTCTTGTACTACCAGGGCTCCTGCGGTCTGGTACGAGGTTAGTTTTATTGTTAGAGATCTAGTGATGTTTGAAATTTATTAACTCCTTTTAGCTACTTCTCCTTTAGATAAGTATTGCATTCTTTTTTCTGCTATACAGTTCTTTACAACACCTCTGTTCATTATAATTCAAATTTTTTTTTTCACTCTGAACTATAAATCTCTGGCCTATTAACTGTTTCAGATCCAGATTGCTAGGGTTTACAACGGTGCCACTGAAACATCCTGCTGTTGATCTCTTATCCGGATCACCCAGTCTCCTCCCGATCCTCCCACACTTCACAACAAGATGCCAACACTGCCCGCCAACTTCCTCGCCTTACTGCAAAACTTATCCCTTGAAGTAAAGCAACACATGCATACCCTCCTTACTCAGAGTATCCTGGACAGTCTGAAAGAGGAAAAGCTTGCTTCTAAAATAGAACGGTTAGATGAAAAGAAGAAGGAAAAGAAAACGAAGAAGGAAACTACTGTTCAAAATGTCTCGTATAGCCCACTGGTCGTGAGCCGTTTTCAAGTCGCCTTCTAGTCGCTTTTAGTTCGCTTCCGGTCGCTTTTGGGTCCAAGTAATTAATTTCATACTGAAGAATATGGACTTGTCAGAGATAAGTGAAAAGGATATAAATTTACTGACCGAATTTACAAATTTTTCAAAGGCAGAGGTTAAAGATATGATCGACAAAGAGTTCATGGAACTGGTCAAGATATTTGGTCTTCTTAAACCGGAATTCGGACAACTATTTTATTCTGAAAATGAAGATTCAACGGACTCTGATACTGATAGCAGGGAAAGTTCTGACAGTGGAAGTGACGATGATGACGAAAATAGTGAAAATAATATAATCGTATCAAATTACAGAGAAAATACTGAAACAGAAGATAGTGCAGAAAATGACGATATGTCCGATAAAGATAGTGACTAATAGAATGTTTTTATTTAGAGTTTACCTGTGTATGAAATATAAATACTTAAATATTAAAGTTGTTTGTTTCACTTGTATCTACAAAAAAAAATAGTAAGAGTTCTAAAAAGATTAAAAAACTAATAAATTACAAAAGAAATGTAATAAAAAACATGAAACTATAATAATGATATAATAATGACATAATAACGGTATAATAACCGTATTAATATTATTATAACTAATGACGTGTATTTATTAATGACGGATATTATTATTAGTGACGGGTTTTATCATTAATAATGACGGGTGTCATTATTAATAATGACGGTTTTATCATTATCAATGACGGGTGTCATTATTAATAATGACGGTTTTATCATTATTAATGACGGGTGTCATTATTAATTACGGGTGTCATTATTAATAATGACGGTTTTATCATGATTAATGACGGGTATCATTATTAATGACGGGTGTCATTATAATTAATGACGGGTGTCATTTTTAATAATGACGGTGTTTATCATTATTAATGACGGGTGTCATTATTAATAATGACGGTTTTTATCACTATTAATGACGGCTATCATTATTAATAATGACGGTTTTATCATTATTAATGACGGGTGTCATTATCAATAAAGGGTGTCATTATTAATAATGAAGGTTTTATCATTATTAACGACGAGTGTCATTATTAATGACGGGTGTCATTATTAATAATGACTGTTTTATCATTATTAATGACGGGTGTCATTATTAATAATGACGGTTTTATCATTATTAATGACGGGTGTCATTATTAATGACGGGTGTCGTTATTAATAATGATAGTTTTATCATTATTAATGACGGGTGTCATTGTTAATGATGGGTGTCATTATTAGCAACTAAATCCATTCATCATACAGCAGAAGTCGATAATGTATAGTGTACGCGTTCACGTAACAACAATATTGTTGATATGGTAACGTAATTAGAGAACACTTTCAGGCCGCGGTTACTCAATAATATCAAGATGGTATTATCAATATACTAGTGTAACCCGGCCTACGGCCGGGATTTCACTGCCGCAGTTAAAAAGGGTAGGAGTAATTACCCGCTGAGTCAAAACCCGCATTAGGTGACCCAATAGTTTCTTAAACAATAATCTCATAATCAGTTATTTCTTGTGGATAATTAAGTCATTATTAGCCATGAGGCACCACACTCCATGATCATAAGGTCTGAACACCGAGTATTACACCTCATCACTCCCGTCTTGAACCGCTTTCTATTTTTATTTAAATCGTTATAGAAATTAACCCTTGTTAACTCCGCACCACACCCGCATATTATATTTGAAAACACGCATAACATTGTCGTATGAACTCTCTCTCTCTCTCTCTCTATCTCTGCAGTCCAAACAGACCCCAAACACTAACAGTCCCCCCTCCCCTAATAAGCTTAAGGTATAACATTACAGCGAATCTTCCAGGCTAATCCAATTATGACGCTACTTAAATGCAGCTATAACATATTACACAGTAATGAGAGAGAGAGAGCAAGCCCCGTAACTCTTGCCGTTCTGCTCACGCAATTTTATGTAACATTTGTGGTACAAAACCATCAATTAAACCACTTACCATTGGCCGATTTTTAAAAAAATTTCCTATGGGCTTCATCAGAGTTTTGTCGACACTATACCGAAAAAATCAGTCCCGTAACTCTTACCGTTTTTTTTGTATAACCGACCGGAAATTACACACGGACAGACAGACAGACAGACACACACACACACACACATTCTGGTGTTATTAAGGTGATAGGCCCAGTACATTATACTGCTTGTTTCAGTGCTTGTTTTAGCGCTTGACAGTTCATCAGTGTTGTCGCTTCAATGTTGTCTAATAATATCAAATATTAGACTCAATGTTAGTTTTATCCATTGTTAGGATGGGTCTAGATATTTTCTACTTTATATAATTATATCAGAAGATCTAGACAAATTGATCAGTAATGAGCGTGGAACTCGTTATTATAATAACCATGATGAAAGATAATGCTTGTTACCTCAATAGAGGACTAATCCTCATGACATTAGTGTTCAGTGTTTGTCTTTGTTTGATAACTTGATAAGGTATAATTGTGAATAGGTGATGTGTTTTCAACGGCAGTTAATTTGCCAGCCCTCCAGCCAACCGAGGTTAAATACGAACTACCGTTGCAACCTATGGTTACATGTTGTTCAATGTTACTTTTATTCGTTGTTAGGACGAGTCTAGATATTTTACGTTGTAAAATTATATCAGTAGATCTAGATAAATCAATATATATAATAACCAATGAGATATAATGCTTCTTTGCCCTTAATCACATTAGTGCTCAGTGTTTGTCTTTGTTTGATAACTTGATATGGTATAATTGCGAACAGGTGATGTGTTTGAAAAGGAACACGACAGTCACTTTGCCAGCCAACCAAAGTTAAATACGAACTACCGTTGCAATAAGGCTCATTTCTAATTTGTACGTTTTATAATCTGTGTACGCTACTTGTGTCCGTTGAATACAACTACGTGTCAAACGTTGTTCACGAACTTAAAATTCTCCCTGTGAATGTTATATTAGATATGAAAATTATTAGATCTAAGACTTGACGTTAAGTTTAATATTAGGTTATTGTTCAATAGCTATTTTTGTTGCAGCTTCAATTTAAGTAAACAAATTTGATTATTCCTTGGTTAGTAAGTTTTTATTTAATGTACAATAGATTATTACGGCTATTATTTCAGTAACAATATATTCTTGCAGTTAAATTAACAATAAACATAACTAAGTTATAATAACCATCACTAGGAATGAGATATTGGTGGTTTAAAAGTAGATTAATTCTATTTTTGATACTGTTTACGTTGGTTAAACCTGATTTAACCGATGAACAACCTGGACCTTGCAATACGGAGACAAGACCAAAACGTAGGAAGGTTGTCGCACATTGTAAGAAATGTGGTTTTAAAGCTGATACAGAGGTTAGTAGACAAGTTATTCAAATCATGTAGTATTCTTTTGAAGTTTCAAGTTCATGCTGAGGTTAACATCTGTGACTTGGATTCGACATTTTATCAGGTAATCCATAATATATATATATATATAATATATAAGAACTCTACAGACAAAGCTAGAAGGACATACATGTGACGAGCCGGCGATGGGAGAACCTAGTGAACAAGAAGCGACTACTAATGACACGGACGTAAGCTTAAAAATATATGTTTTCTAATTTTTATTTTTATTTATTTTTTAATGTACCAACTTTATAATCATAAATAATGAGTTGGATAGGAGCCTCACTATTTATTTTGAGTCTGATCAACATTAATTATCGTCAACAAACCAAAATATCTAACTATGATAAATATGATAGACTTGCGTTAAATCGCAGTATTTGATTGATCAGTGGAATCCATTAAAGATTCAATTATAAGCAGTAACATAGGTCAAAATTAAGTCAATTTTTTCTATCGCACTTGTTTTTACAGTTTTCAACGAGTTCAAGCAATGTTTACGAAAACGAACAAGTACAAACAACTCCGGACGAAACTGTTGATGCGCCTGTAAGTTATAAAGAGAGCTTATTATTATAGATAGATAGTTCTATATATATATATATGTCAGTCTGATATAAAAGTATGAATAATTTATTTTGATAATAGCTAGACATAATAATGATAATAAACAACTTTTTTAGAGGAACAAAGAACAAATTGAAAATGAACCGCCCACAACATCATCTAATCGGGTAAATTATTAATACAATAAATATAATATAGTCATATCTATATTATAAATATGTATTTCAAAATTGACGAAGTCTCCCTCAATTTACTTAACATGCAATCATTCTACCTTTATTTGTGATCGGTAATTAAATATTTGAAATAATTATGTTTCAGCATAAGATCATCTCATGTGATCTTTGTGGTACAGTTCAGCATTCTCATAACATGGAACGTCACAAAAATAGCAATCGTTGTAGAATACGTTGTGAAATATGTGGTATTCGTGTTACATCTGGAGTCTACCAAGAACACAAGAGTACTCACTTGATGAATCTAAATCTGGGGTTTGGTGATTCATCTAATTCAACTGAACCTACGCCAAGTCCATTTGAAGTGGAAGTTGAAGAGGAGCACAGCGATATCTACAAGATTTTCGCCAGATATATTAAAAGTAAAGTGAAGTTAGGTAGATTAATGGATCGGTTCAATTTCCAAGTGTCTAACTTCAGTCCGAGTGAGTTGGTTCATCTGTTCAAGAAAGTCTTCAGAGCTCAGAAAAACGCTTTTAAGGTGAACTTGTCCATGGGGTTGATTCTGCAACACAAGACTTCTGGAGAGTACAGATTCAATTGGAGTTCACAGAACAATCAACTCCTATTTATGAAACCCGGTCTTATTCGTAACTCGATGGATAAGGCTAATTTCATAAAAGCCTTGAATGAAATCTGTCTTATAAACAAGGTTTTAAGACCTAACAGTGAATGGATCTTTGTTAAAGTAACGAACATAGAGTTTTTCATCTACAAAATGCCTGGAATTGCTATAGGTTCTTCAGTTGATCTCCCTGCACACCTCTTAAGGAATAAAGGACTACTCTCTCTTACAAAAGACAAAAGAGGTAAAACATTCACCGATAAGAAATGTTTCTTTCGTTGCTTGGCTTTGTATTTCGAGACACCACTTAATGGACTTGAAAGAAAGACCAACAAACTTCTGAAAACGTACTGTGAAAAAGCTTCGATAACTCACTTTGATGGAATATATCTTGAGCAGCTTGAGGAGATATCAAGAATTTTTGGTGTTCCAATCAATGTATACCAACAAGATGAGAATCGGAACACAAACCTTCTATACCGGACAACTCTGGAGTCAGAAAAAACACTCAATCTTAATCTCTTTATTGATCATTTTAGCTTCATTAAAGATCTTAGCGTTTACTCTAGGTCATTTCGGTGTCAAAAGTGTGACAAAATCTGGACCAATTCTGGACACTTCCACCGTCACGTAAGAACATGTGAAGCTGGTATAAAAGAATACTATGGCAACGGTACATTTTCTGTAAAACCGACCATTTATGATGAACTCAGTGATGTAGGTATCGATATCCCTGAAGATCTGCGGAACTTTCCCTACCGGGCAACATTTGACATCGAATGTTTATTAAAGAGCACAGATGAAAGTACTGAAAAGATCGATTACTGTAGTGAACACGTGTTAGTGTCAGTATCGGTATGTTCAAATGTTGATGGTTTCTTGGAACCAAAGTGTTTTGTCCTAGGGAAAGAGGGGGATCAGAAACAACTTGTAAAAGATATGTTGGATTATCTGCTCCAAATAAGCGAAACATCGGCCATGCTCCTTAGGGAAAGATATGCAGATTTTCTGGATACCATAGAAAAGTCGCCATTGCAAGATAAGTTCGAGAGCTACATTGGTCAGTTGCCGGTTTTAAGTTTCAACGGGGCCAGATATGATCTAAAAGTGCTCAAGACGACACTTATTCCAGTTCTTATTGAGCTCGACTCGGTCAAATTTGCAATTAAGAAGGGTACAGGTTACATGGTTATAGCAACAGAGGAGCTGAAATTTCTCGATGCGACATACTACATTGCCCCAGGATTTAATTATGATTCATTTTTAAAGGCATACGGAGTGAAGCAGAAAAAGTCGTACTTCCCTTATGAACACTTAGATTCTCTAGAAAAACTTGACTCAAGAGAATTTCCAGCTTATAAGGATTTTCATTCGTCTCTTAAGAACTGCAACACTTTAGAACCTTTAGGAAAAAAGGATCTAACTGAAAGTGAAGTAAGATTGTTAGGATACACCGATACAAAAGACAAACTTTTCACGGCAGAAGATGCTAAAGTTATTGGTCAGAGTAGATACCGTGATTTGAAGAATAGGTTTGAAGAAAACAAGTGGAACATCCGTGACTACCTTATTTACTATAACAATTTAGACGTTAAACCATTTATCGATGCCCTGGAAAATATGACGAAATATTACACGGAGAGAGGGGTTGATGTTTTTAAAGATGCTGTTTCAGGTGAGTGCTCATAAATCTTTTAGTCTCATTTTGAATCAACAACTTCTTAGTCCCATTGTTTTTTGTTGTTGCAGAAATGACTCTTTAATCTTACCCTCCGAGACTTATAATTAAACTACGATATTTGCAGCGCCAGGTATTGCAGAAAGGATTGCTTTCCAAACTCTTGAAAAGGATGAGACTTTTTTCCTTTTCAATAAGAAGAACAAGGATCTTGTCAAACTCTTCCGGGATAATTTGGTTGGAGGACCCGCTCTAATATTTGACCGTCATCAGGAAGCCGGTTAGAGACAAATTACAGTAATTTTATTATTATTTTAAGTAAGTGACATATTTTAAACTAACACCAATCAGTTCTTTTATGAAATAGTAAATCTTCAAACGCATAACTTTCAAATCTATCTAGGTAAAACGAAGATACGACATGATCCAGATGGTCCTGATTGTGTTAAGATTTTGGGATTTGATGCAAACGCTCTATACTTGGGTAAATATATTTTAAAAGACAACTAAATGATACGGTTGGAACTTCTAGAATATAACAAGGATATAAACATTGATTTAACTTAACGAACTAACGCTTATTTCAGGCTGTATGGCCGAGGAATGTCCATGTGCTATGTATGTAAGACGACGGGCTGAAAACGGTTTCGTAAAAGAGTATCCAACTCCCCAATCCTACGCTGCTACAGATTGGTTGGCCCACAAAGAAGTGGAAGATAATGTGTACATCCAGCATGCCAGGAATGGACCGGAGTTTAAAATCGGTGTTAAGAAAATCCCAGTCGATGGGTACTGTCAGTAAGTTAAATATTTGATAATAACGTTAAAAGTTAGATATAAACGTTAAAACCGTAAAAGAATAATGATGAGACGCTACCAACTAAATATCGGTCTTGTATAACAATCATATAAAATTTCCTTAATCATTACATTTGTCATTTCAGGACGACGAACACCGTTTACCAATTCCACGGGTGTTATTTCCATGGATGCAGATCTTGCTTTCCGGATGCCTACCATGATAGAAAGGACGCTAAAAATGGTTGGAAATCTCTAGACGAACGTTTCCAGTATACCAAGGATATCTCTGAGTATATCATTGGAGCTGGTTATGATCTGCAGGAAATGTGGGAGTGTCAGTGGAAAGAACTAAAGAAGAATACCACAACTAAGAACAAATACTTGTATCCTGGTGAAGATAAGTTCCGACTGACAGAGATCGAAATTATTGACATGATTATGGATGGATCACTGTTTGGAGCAATTGAAGTTGATATAGAGGTTCCTGAAAACTTGAAGGAAAAGTTCTCTGAAATGACACCGATCTTCAAAAATGTTGAAGTCACGGTTGATGACATAGGCGATTTCATGATAGGTTATCTCAAAGATTCTGGAAAGAAGTTTCACAACACTCGATATTTAATTGGCTCGATGTTTGGAAACAAGATTCTACTTATCACACCATTGATCAAGTGGTATCTGGAACACGGTCTTGTTATTACTAAAGTACATCAAGTAATCCAATTCCAACCTAAAAGATGCTTCAAACGGTTCGCTAACCAAGTTTCAGACGACCGTAGAGCAGGTATTATGAATTAATAATGTTTAACTACTTACAAAATAAATATAGCCTTCTACTTAAGCACAAAGTAATTTCTCACCACCCTGACTTAATGATCTTAAGATTCTATTTTTGTTTCGAAAAAAATAATAATAATAATAATAACTGAATTTAATTTTATAGGAGATGCAGATAGCAGTATGGCTATGATAGCTGAAACATCTAAACTGTTAGGTACCAGTCACTATTTGTTTTATTTATTTATTTATTTATTTATTTATTTATTTATTTATTTATTTATTTATTTATTTATTTATTTATTTATTTATTTATTTATTTATTTATTTATTTATTTATTTATTTATTTATTTATTTATTTATTTATTTATTTATTTATTTATTTATTTATTTATTTATTTATTTATTTATTTATTTATTTATTTATTTATTTATTTATTTATTTATTTATTTATTTATTTATTTATTTATTTATTTATTTATTTATTTATTTATTTATTTATTTATTTATTTATTTATTTATTTATTTATTTATTTATTTATTTATTTATTTATTTATTTATTTATTTATTTATTTATTTATTTATTTATTTATTTATTTATTTATTTATTTATTTATTTATTTATTTATTTATTTATTTATTTATTTATTTATTTATTTATTTATTTATTTATTTATTTATTTATTTATTTATTTATTTATTTATTTATTTATTTATTTATTTATTTATTTATTTATTTATTTATTTATTTATTTATTTATTTATTTATTTATTTATTTATTTATTTATTTATTTATTTATTTATTTATTTATTTATTTATTTATTTATTTATTTATTTATTTATTTATTTATTTATTTATTTATTTATTTATTTATTTATTTATTTATTTATTTATTTATTTATTTATTTATTTATTTATTTATTTATTTATTTATTTATTTATTTATTTATTTATTTATTTATTTATTTATTTATTTAATTATTTATTTATTTATTTATTTATTTATTTTTAAATTTTGACCCAGAATGAATTTATAAACGTTTTGTACAGTCTAGCTCTATTTAGTATTTTCCACTTTTTGTTTCCTCTCGGAAATTCTGTCTTGATCTTGCCAGTTTTGTATTATATATGTTATTCAATGATACAAAGTATATTACAACATTTTATTACTAGGTAACTCTGTATACGGACATTCTATTATGGATAAATCTAAGTTTACGAATGTGACATTCTGCGCTTTTGACCAAGCTACCAAACTCGTCAACGATCCATTTTTCCATAGTTTAGATGAATTTGAAAACGAGACATTTGAGGTTTGTGCAATTATTATTTAAAACACCGTAACACGATAATCAACTCCTGAGAAATTTGATAATGGTTTTTATCTATTTATTTATATAAATAAATTTGTAGTATTAATTTGTTTTCTTGGTTTATTTTAATTTTATTAGTAATATTAAACTTTCTTACAGATTGTACGATTGAAGAAGTCTGTGAAATACGATTTACCCCTACAACTTGGATATTTTGTTTATCAATATGCGAAACTCAAGATGTTGTCATTTTACTTTGACGTTGTGGATAGGTTCATCGATAGACGAGATTTTTCACTCCTTGAAATGGATACTGGTAGGTCTATTAACCAGAGACTAAAGAACTAATAAAAAAATTTAGGAATACGTGTTTTGATATTGAATAATCCTATTAAAGTCAGCTTCAAACAAACAATTTCAGACAGTCTTTATTTAGCTCTTAGTGCAACATCGTTAAACGAAGTGATAAAACCAGAGATGCAGAGTGAATGGCCAGAAACAAAAGCTCGTTGGTTCCCCCGTTCTGATTCACCTGAGAACAAAGCCTACGACAAAAGAACTCCTGGTAATTTGGTTGTTATTCTCAAAGTTAAAAATGAATAAAACAGATAAAATATAGTGACGTAAATGATAGGGAGAGAACAAAATTCACAATTTCAATTATTAAATGCACTTCAAATCGCTTGAAAATAGTTTAATGTAAATTCATGTTTTTTCAGGACTGTTTAAGCTGGAATGGTCGGGGGATGGTTTCGTCGGACTCAACGCGAAAACCTATTACTGTTATGATAGAAGTGATCCTAAGAAAGATAAACATAGTAGTAAAGGAATCAGTAGAGCTTTTAACCTTTCAAAAGAAGACTACCTTAACGTTCTTGATACAAAGTACATTAGTAACCAGGAGAATAGGGGTTTTGTATTTAGAAACAACAAAATGTATTCGTATGTTATGCAAAAGCAAGGTCTGACATACTTTTACTGCAAAAGGAAATTGCTGGCTAATGGTTTATCAACGACATATCTCGATATTTAGTTATTTTTCTTAATAAATTACAGTTATTAATGACAGAATTCGTTCTTTGGTGACATATGCTTATTTTCTTAGCATAATTGTGTTAAAATGTATCTAAGGAATTATATAAATTACTTTTCTCACTTAATTTTATTTTTAGAGTGAATACTTACTGTATCTGTAAACAAACGTTTGTTGAACATACCAACATATTACAAACAAACAAAAAAAATAGTATTATTTTGATTAATATATTAAAGTAATAGAGTAATATCATAGTAAAAATAATTGTTGAGTGTATAACGATTTGACCTAGTGAGTAGTGATAATGACACCCGTCATTAATAATGATAAAACCGTCATTATTAATAATGAAACCCGTCATTAATAATGATAAAACCGTCATTATTAATAATGACATCCGTCATTAATAATGACACCCGTCATTAATATTGACACCCGTCATTAATAATGATAAAACCGTCATTATTAATAATGACACCCGTCATTAATAATGACACCCGTCATTGATAATGATAAAACCGTCATTATTAATAATGACACCCGTCATTATTAATGATAAAACCCGTCACTAATAATAATATCCGTCATTAATAATGACACCCGTCATTGATAATGATAAAACCGTCATTATTAATAATGACACCCGTCATTATTAATGATAAAACCCGTCACTAATAATAATATCCGTCATTAATAAATACACGTCATTAGTTATAATAATATTAATACTGTTATTATACCGTTATTATGTCATTATTATATCATTATTATAGTTTCATGTTTTTTATTACATTTCTTTTGTAATTTATTAGTTTTTTAATCTTTTTAGAACTCTTACTATTTTTTTTTTGTAGATACAAGTGAAACAAACAACTTTAATATTTAAGTATTTATATTTCATACACAGGTAAACTCTAAATAAAAACATTCTATTAGTCACTATCTTTATCGGACATATCGTCATTTTCTGCACTATCTTCTGTTTCAGTATTTTCTCTATAATTTGATACGATTATATTATTTTCACTATTTTCGTCATCATCGTCACTTCCACTGTCAGAACTTTCCCTGCTATCAGTATCAGAGTCCGTTGAATCTTCATTTTCAGAATAAAATAGTTGTCCGAATTCCGGTTTAAGAAGACCAAATATCTTGACCAGTTCCATGAACTCTTTGTCGATCATATCTTTAACCTCTGCCTTTGAAAAATTTGTAAATTCGGTCAGTAAATTTATATCCTTTTCACTTATCTCTGACAAGTCCATATTCTTCAGTATGAAATTAATTACTTGTCGCACTTTTGGAATGTCAGATTTTATTTCTTCAACATTTTCGGCGGCAACTAGGGATTCCATTTCAATCACATTGTCGACTAAGTCTCTTGATTGAAGATCAATTTCTTTCTGGTTCAGTTGTTCTGTATTTTTGCGGTCCCTCTTTCTAGCTTGTCTTAGTTCATTAATATCAATTTTATTTGATTTCACAAGAAAATCAAGTTCCTGAAGCGAGAATTTCACCGTATCTACCATTCTTTTCAATTCTTGACAGTCAAATTCTGGTACTTTTTTATCTAATTCACCTGTTTTTACTGTCTCCAGGGAGTGATCATCAAGATAGCTGGTATATTTTGGAAATGAATTCTCCGCTTTTCCAGAATCCTCCATCGGAGAATCGGAGTTGAAAACATTATGTGTAGTTTTAGAATATGGTTTATCCTGAAATTTTTGTGGAGTATTTTCCGAATGATAAGAATATCTGTGTGTTCTGAGACTTCCAGAGTTCTTGTAGCGTTTATCACAAAAATTACATTGATATAATTTCCCCATTTTTGTTTGTAGCACTACAGAATTATATTAGTGGATACAATTCTGGAAATGATTAAATTTTTGACGGATCTCCTCCTTATATAGCCGAAAAACCAGGCATGTTAATTATTGTCTTTAATTTTGTGCATTGAAAATTAGAAATCAATCATTAGTGTTTTTAATCTATAAATTCGAAAGGAATAAGTAGCTTGACTTACTTCCTATTATAACATAATTTATCAGTTTCTACAGGTTTCCGATTTACTTCTGTTTATTAATAATAGACATTTAAAGTCAAACTCGATACCAGGAACGTCACTATAATTATTGACAACAACAAAAAATGTGTGCATCATTTTCAGGCTATAAAAGGACCTGAACTTGTGGCCGTTGAATCATTAATTTCCATTAAACTCGTTATGGATGCAGCAATTCTACAAAACTTGCCAGAGTTGTACCGCCCAGTTTATCAACAAAACTGGAGAACAATTAGAGAAAGTCTCAAACATGGTCGGATACGTGATACGTTTCATTTCCCTCTTTTTGAAAACGAAGATAGCGAAATTAAATCTAAAGCAGAACGGGTAATTTCAAACTACAATCGTACAATTAAAATAAATGTCGCTTTTGGTTTCATTCTGAAAAATCGGTCCACTGATGAACTCAAGTTTTTCCACCCATCAAACAATACGATGTTATTTCTGACACCAAAGCTGTTGGAAAATGCTTCAGATTATGAGCAATTCAGAACTGATATCGAAAAAGAAGACGCCTTTCAGTATGCAAGAACAAACAGGCCATCAACAAACTGGAAAGTAGCAAGAATAATTTGTGTTCGATTTGATGTTTACAAGATGTAAGAAGCTTTTGATTCCATAAGGATTTATATTTGTAATTTAAAAGAATTTCTCGTAATATGTTTTACATATAAATAATCATGTATTTAAATTTCTTAAATACCACATTTTAACAATTAACCTGTAGTTTTATTTGGTTCGTTAAGTCAGTAACTGTCAAGCATTAACAGTAACACAGCTGTTACCGTAACTTATGTACTCGGACTATATATTGTTAATACGATCTTGATATTATTGAGTAACCACGTCATGAAAGTGCTCTCTAATTACGTTACCACATCAACAATATCGTTGTTACGTGAACGTGTACACTATAATACATTGAACGACTTCTGCTGTGTGATGAAAGTGATTAGTTGATACATCAGTATCACATAACGTAGGGTTAGATAAAATTTATTGCTGGGATAAACTAGGTTAAAATGTATAACATAATAACATAGTCACATTTTAGAACGACTCTGACTGGGATTTGAACTTGTAACCCCCGTCTTAAAAGCCGGCAGATTAACCAACTGCGCCACCCGGGTGATTGCATAATAACACGCGTTTTTAAAAAATGTGTCTCAATTTTTGCTTAAATACAGCTCCAAAAATCCCTCATACACTACTAACCCTAACCCTAACCCTAACCCTAACCCTAACCCTAACCCTAACCCTAACCCTAACCCTAACCCTAACCCTAACCTAACCCTAACCCTAACCCTAACCCTAACCCTAACCCTAACCCTAACCCTAACCCTAACCCTAACCCTAACCCTAACCCTAACCTAACCCTAACCCTAACCCTAACCCTAACCCTTACCCTAACCCATCAACGATTCTTCGATGCGAAGCAAGAATGCTAGTTCGCGCGGCGCGTCGAAGCGGCGAAGTCCTCCCCTAACCCTAACCCTAACCCTAACCCTAACCCTTACCCTAACCCATCAACGATTCTTCGATGCGAAGCAAGAATGCTAGTTCGCGCGGCGCGTCGAAGCGGCGAAGTCCTCCCAACAATATAGCAACGTCTGATAAAGGTTACATTGGGCGAAAGCATGACATATTCAACTTTTATTTCTTGTATTCAGAAATTAAAATTTCAATAGTAAATACAAAATATTCGGGTCATTTTATTTATAAACTTCGGGTTTTTTAAAATTTTGTAAGATTGTTATTAAATTTTTATATCGTACATTCAATTTTTATTTATCATTTATGGTCATTGCTATATTATTTGTATATTGTTTTAATTGACGATGTCAATTCATCTCAGCTCGGCGCGGCACAGTAACGCATCGCGCTACAATATATTGTTTTAATTTCTCATTGCTGTAAAAGTATTCGCTTCACGCTTCAAAGCGTAAATTTTAAAATATATGCGCGGCTTACCTGACCTTTCGTTTCAAAATACTTTGGGCAGTGAATGAAATACATTGAAATGTGCCCATCTTGCTCGAGTCATTGCTAAGGTTTGGCTTATAGGGGTTATTTAAACAATAAAAGGAACGAGTTTTATTTGAAGTGGAATGGCACGCTATTTTATGTGCGCGGCCGGCGCTCTTTTGAAGCGTTCTGAACATGAAGCTCCGATACTACGTGAGAAAAGCTTGTATCACGTGGTGACCCCCACGGTCGTTTCACTATAGTGTAGCGTCTTCGACGCTACAGGGGGAGCCGCGCACTTCGTGCGCGGCGGGTCATACAACGTATGACAAAGAAAAGCGAACAACAGACTAGCAAGCTAGGTAAGCCGTAAAAGTGAAACAGACAACTTGGTGCATAAGCTCGATTTAGTAGTGCTCGCAGTAAAAAGAACCACAACACAGTACAGCTGCGTACTTGTGCGCGGCGGGCCGGCTTAATACGTTAAGCAAATGCAAAATATAATGGCAATTAAAATATTACATTTCTGACATACCTTCTGTCACATTACCGCAGAGGTAGTGGGGACATACCTTCTGCCACATTACCGAAAGGTAGTGGGGAAATACCTTCTGCCACATTACCGAGAGGTAGTGGGGACATACCTTCTGCCACATTACCGCAGAGGTAGTGGAGACATACCTTCTGCCACATTACCGCAGAGGTAGTGGAGACATACCTTCTGCCACATTACCGCAGAGGTAGCGGAGACATACCTACTGCCACATTACCGCATAGGTAGTGGAGACATACCTTCTGCCACATTACCGAGAGGTAGTGGGGACATACCTTCTGCCACATTACCGCAGAGGTAGTGGAGACATACCTTCTGCCACATTACCGCATAGGTAGCGGAGACATACCTTCTGCCACATTACCGCATAGGTAGTGGAGACATACCTTCTGCCACATTACCGAGAGGTAGTGGATACATACCTTCTGCCACATTACTGCAAAGGCCGTAGTGGAGACATACCTTCTGCCACATTACCGCAGAGGTAGTGGAGACATACCTTCTGCCACATTACCGCAGAGGTAGCGGAGACATACCTTCTGCCACATTACCGCATAGGTAGTGGAGACATACCTTCTGCCACATTACCGAGAGGTAGTGGAGACATACCTTCTGCCACATTACTGCAAAGGCCGTAGTGGAGACATACCTTCTGCCACATTACCGCAAAGGTAGTGGAGACATACCTTCTGCCACATTACCGCAGAGGTAGTGGAGACATACCTTCTGCCACATTACCGCAGAGGTAGTGGAGACATACCTTCTGTCACATTACCGCAGAGGTACAGGTAGTGGAGACAAACTTTCTAAATAACTTCGTGATCCAGGTCGCGTATACAGAATTATCAGAAATTTTGAACTGTAAAAATCACAACAATGCGACTCATAATTGCCATAAATAATGTTCCTATCCTTAAATGTAATATGCATGTACTACGGCTTCATGTGCCTTTCAGATTTTATGTGACAGGATTATCCAAATTTGAGAAAGAAGAGAAGGAAATAACGTATTATAAGAATCTTAACATAAATAATTTATTAATTGACAATATAGGATTGGTAAACAAATTCGAACAAATCAATAATCTGTTTTATCGTCACCATAACAACAGTCACTTCTCTATCCAAAACATAGCTTTAAATTACAAAACACTGATTTACCCACACGTCGGAGGGGTTAAATAGGAAATCACTTTTTTTTAAACGATAACTCCCCCCCCCCCCCCCCCCCCCCCCCAATACCACGGTAAGTGCGTTTTACTAGTCATAATTAATGATTTAATGATATATTTAACCATTTAATACGTTGATTTCATCATTACCAAATTAAACTTGTCGCTACTATTTTGTCATGCAAATTGATTCCGAATGAAAATATTTCCAAAATGGTAAATAATCATCATATTCAATATTTGAACTAAACCGAAAAATATAAGATTACAGACTAAGTTCAGACTTCACGAGAACAACCATGAAATTAGAATCCCAAAAACGAGCCTATACGTGAGATGTCTGCCAACGTGGCCTGGGTTTCATACTATGTATCGCTGTCAAATCGAACTGAAGTGAGCTTCTTTGTTAGTAAAAATACACAAGAAATACACAAAGACGAGAAGAGAGTTTTGACTTCGGTGATTTCGCCAATCTCATCCGACAACACCATACTAGATGTAAAAATGGTTCAATATAAACACAGCAGAACTGCACTTTAGAATCGTTTCAACATATTTACAAAAATATAAGAGTTCATCTTTTCAGTCTGTTCCTTCATTTCATTTTCAGTTATAGTTCGTAACAACAGAACACACTAAGATTGTCTCAAACAAAACATGACACGTTACCACAACAATTAGCAGCAGTCTCCCTCACTTGTTGCTCCTTGTTGGTAATTTACTTGGTAACCGGCTACGAGGGGCGGGAATTCTCGACCTGCTGGCAACACCAGACTTCACCGCAGTTACCATGGCAACACCAGACTTCACCGCGCCCCCCGTTTTAGCAGCTGATACTTTGTCAGCCGGTTTGTTTACATTTGATACTCTGCTAGATTTGGAGGAGTTTGCAGTGTCGTCCTGTTTAGCGGCTTTATTCTCGAGAGAACCTAACACGGGTCGCCTTGCTCCTGGCGTTGCCATGGTAACTGCTCTTCCTCCTACAAGCTTGCTTTTATCAGCCACTTTCTTAAGATCAGCTCTACCAGCCAGCCCTGTGTTTATCTTAGAGATGCCCGCTAGTTTAGGGGGGACACCTATTTTTGCTTTTATAGTCGGCTTCTTTTTGGCAGATTCGCTTAAGTCAGATGAGGGTTTTGGTTTTGCGAGAGGTCTGTTCAGGGTATTGGATCTAGCGGCTAGCTTTATTTTGGGAGTGGCTGGTTTAGTAATTGCAGACTCATCTCGGGGAGTCGCCGTGGCAACTGCTCCTGCTTTTATGCGAGGAGTAGCAACAGCCCCGGTTCTAACGCGAGGAGTGGGGGGTTTCTTTGGAGCAGCGTTCTCGTTATTCTCAATGAGCAGAGTTCCAGCGCTGGCTGACTTGGAGGAGGCGTAGTCACCTTTGCCGCGAGGCGGAGTAGAGCAGATCTTCTTCTGCCTTATTCTTGGAGGTGTGCTGATCACTGGAGTAGGTTTGTAGTTACTGCGCGCTTGTAATGCGCTTGGTCGAGTGGGTGTCAGCGGTAAGTTGCGTTGTGGAGTCATGCAACCCGACCCCTCGTACGACTGTGATTTCTTGGGAGTTCCACAAGGACTCATGGGCCTAGATCTGGGGCTGACTGGTGCCTGCATGTGAGGTCGGGGACTGGGAGGCATCCAAGGCTGCTTCATATCACCAGCTGAAAAGGATTTTGTTTGATGTTCAACGTACGTATAGACAATTATAATTATTATAACTCCTTTCATGCCTAATTTATCAATTCACATTATTAATCAAGACATCTAGCTAAAGAAGAAAATAATTGTAAAAGCAGTAAACTGCTCCCCTAAACTAACAAAGTTACGACAGGATGCTGGTCTCACCACTAGCAGATTTGGAGACAGGACTAAAACTTGGTGTTTTTGAGACTGGAGAGCCAAGTTTAGCTCTAAATGCCGCGAACGTTGACCTTTCCTCTCCTATATCCTCCCTGTAAATAAGGTAGTCATAAGGAGACTAAAGTCTAGAATTATTGTTATAATTATTGTTATTCTAAGTATAGTATGAAAACCACAAATTAATCCAACAAATAGGGTAGTCCCCTGCCTAAAATTGGGGGCTTACTTTTGAGGAGCCATGCAGGGAAGAGTTGATGGTCGAGGAGGTTTTGATGCACCTCTTGTAGGAGTTGGGGGCCTTGCTGCATCTCTTGTAGGAGTTGGGGGCCTTGCTGCATCTCTTGTAGGAGTTGGGGGCCGTGCGGCACCTCTTGTAGGAGTTGGGGGCCGTGCGGCACCTCTTTTAGGAGTTGTACTGTGTACCGCTTTTACTGGTGTGTTCTTCTTATCTGCTCTCAAACTGGGAAAAATTATATTATAATCTGATAAATATAATTATTATAAATTATATCATAATATGATAGAAGTATTGGTGAGGATACAATAATAAAACTCAGAAACTAAACTCACAGTTTTGGCTTGTAGGAGACTGGAGTAGTCGCAGGATCGCGAACCCGTTTACTCGGCTCCATCACTATCTGCTGACCTTGATACATCTGAAATGTAGGAATAAGTCGGGTCCTCACCAGACACCAGTCACCACAATTTCTTATTAAGTCAATCAAACATCTACACAAACTGTAAGACAGGCTGTGAGGCTGAGAATGATGGGTTGAAGAAACGTTCAACCTATATAAATGGTGTGGTGTACAGTGTACTGTGTTCACTGAACAGCTCTTATGTCATAGTTTGTCAAAATTCCTTTCTGTCATCGCTCCAAAAATTTGAATTTTGAAATATTGCGCGAAATGAGGAAAGTGATCAGACTTTCTTCACAAAAACGTTTTCGCGCGCTACGTTCTCAAGATTATAATAATGTTGGAGAAACACTTCCCTCGGGACAATCCACTACACAAGATCTTGAACCGGAACAGTGTAAAAGTCTCATACAGCTGTATGAAAAACATGGAATGCCTCATAAAATCCCGGAACAAGCAGTTGCTTCGTCAGCACCAGGAAACCCAGGAACCCACCACACGGCAGTGCAACTGCCGCTCCAGGAACTCCTGCCCACTAAACGGAAAGTGCCTATCGAAGTCTGTGGTATACATGGCGACTCTCCGTACGGAAAATGAGAAGCACCACTACATCGGTATGACGGAGGGCACATTCAAGGACCGGTACAACGGGCACACGTCATCATTTCGCCTGGAGCGGTACCGAAATAGAACCAAACTGTCGGAGAAGATCTGGTCCTTCAAAGACCGTGGGTTAGAATTCGGGATCGAATGGAAAATAATCAGACGTGGACACGGATACAGAGCCGGCCAGAACAGCTGCGATCTGTGCACGTCTGAGAAATTAGAAATTTTGCTTCGATCCTCTGACCCACACTTACTTAACTCCAGGACGGAAATCCTCACAAAATGCCGCCATAAACGGAAATTCCTTTTATAATCTAATGACTCATATATCTAACCCCTAGTATTGTTTCACGAGTGAATGTTTATGTTAATTTTTAGCTTTGTAATTTTAATTTTAGTTCCTATACCTCAGTTGTCACTGATGATATCATGGTTTTGTATCATGATTGAAACATTTGTCTGACTCAACCGGTCGTTTCATTTTGTATCTAGCTCTCGGCTTGCCGATTGAGCACTGTAAGCAGACGACGCCACCCACAATTATATTTAAATATATTTATATTTTCATCACAATTCAATTTTAAGACGTTTTAAAGCCGATGCCATTTGCCCAAAAATTGGCAAGGGGTTCCCAGGCGGGATTTAAAAAATTGATAATTGGAAAAACAAATATCTGGCTGGAGATAACCGCACACAAACATGCTAGCCAGTGGTAAAACGACCGCGGCATTTTTTCCAATTTTAGACCTTTTTAAAAAGATTTTTTAGGACCAATCAGTTTTTGAGGGAGCGGCATACAGGTACGTTTCGCCACTGCTACCCTTATAATAAGCTTGGTCCTATCTGAAATAAGACTAGCCTTAGTCCAAGCCAAAACCCCAACCCCAAACATGTCTCTAACTCTCGCTTTCACCTAACATGTCTGGTGACACAAACTGTGAAGGGTTGGGTGGAGTGGGTGAGTTCGGGAAGGGGTGAGTTCGGGTGGAGGGGGTGAGTTCGGGGGAGGGGTGAGGTCGGGGAAGGGGTGAGTTCGGGTGGAGGGGGTGAGTTCGGGAAGGGGTGAGTTCGGGAAGGGGTGAGTTCGGGTGGAGGGGGTGAGTTCGGGGGAGGGGTGAGTTCGGGGAGGGGTGAGTTCGGGTGGAGGGGGTGAGGTCGGGGAAGGGGTGAGTTCGGGTGGAGGGGATGAGTTCGGGTGGAGGGGTGAGTTCGGGTGGAGGGGGTGAGTTCGGGGAAGGGGTGAGTTCGGGTGGAGGGGGTGAGTTCGGGTGGAGGGGGTGAGTTCGGGGAAGGGGTGAGTTCGGGTGGAGGGGTGAGTTCGGGTGGAGGGGGTGAATTCGGGGGAAGGGTGAATTCGGGTGGAGGGGGTGAATTCGGGGAAGGGGTGAGTTTGGGTGGAGGGGGTGAGTTCGGGGGAGGGGTGAGTTCGGGTGGAGGGGGTGAGTTCGGGGAAGGGGTGAGTTCGGGGGAGGGGGGGGTGAGTTCGGGAGGAAGTAGTACATATGAACGTGGAAGGGAGGGGGAGGGGTGAGTTCGGGAGAAGTAGTACATAGGAACGTTACACCAAGTTGAAACTGAGGGTTAAGAACTTTTAATGAAAGAGACGAACTAACCGGAGAAGGAGGTTTGAGAACTTGTCTGAGATAACTCTTTTCTTTGTCACCGAACAGGACAGATGGCGAGTTAACTTGAGAGATGAAGAGATCGTCATTGTCAATATTAGCGAGGTAAGAGGGAGGGAGGAGACCCAGGGATTCTCTAGACTTCACGCTGCTCATACTATCGCGGGAACATAAAGGCGCAATACTGTCATAGTCCTCTTCTTCAAGAAAATCTGGTCGAGCGATAAACAGTTCGTTTTCTTCAGTTGGATATGTAGCTACTGAAGTCCCACTAATTTCACCAACGTTTTGGGAAAAAGATACGTCACTTTCTGCAGTAATTTTGTCTTGTTCTTCTGTCCGAGATAAATTGGTAACAATTTCTAATTCAGTGCTGGCTATTTGATCAGACATTTCACCGGGCTCATTGTGATTAGGGATCATTATATCCTCCGATAAACTCTGAGATCCTCTATCAAATTGATCTAAAACATTATTAGCAGACACCAGATCCTCCTGTGTTACATCTTCTTTTGTTGTGCAGTCACCAAGATCATCTTCAACACTCACAGGACTCTCTTCAACACTCACAGGACCGTCTTCAACACTCACTAGATCAACATCGGTGATGATTGAATCAACTTCAACGCTAACTGGATCATCTTCAACACTCACTAGATCAACATCGGTGATGACTGGATCAACTTCAACGCTAACTGGATCATCTTCAACACTCACAGGACCGTCTTCAACACTCACTAGATCAATATCAGTGATGACTGAATCAACTTCAACGCTAACTGGATCATCTTCAACACTCACTAGATCAACATTGGTGATGACTGGATCAACTTCAACGCTAACTGGATCAACTTCAACACTCACAGGACTCTCTTCAACACTCACTAGATCAATATCAGTGATGACTGAATCAACTTCAACGCTAACTGGATCATCTTCAACACTCACTAGATCAACATTGGTGATGACTGGATCAACTTCAACGCTAACTGGATCAACTTCAACGCTAACTGGATCATCTTCAACGCTCACTGGATCAACATTGGTGATGACTGGATCAACTTCAACGCTAACTGGATCATCTTCAACACTCACTAGATCAACATCGGTGATGACTGGATCAACTTCAACGCTAACTGGATCATCTTCAACACTCACTAGATCAATATCAGTGATGACTGAATCAACTTCAACGCTAACTGGATCATCTTCAACACTCACTAGATCAACATTGGTGATGACTGGATCAACTTCAACGCTAACTGGATCAACTTCAACGCTAACTGGATCATCTTCAACGCTCACTAGATCAACATTGGTGATGACTGGATCAACTTCAACGCTAACTGGATCATCTTCAACACTCACTAGATCAACATCGGTGATGACTGGATCAACTTCAAAATTAATTGGATCAACTTCAACGCTAACTGGATCATCTTCAACACTCACTAGATCAACATCGGTGATGACTGGATCAACTTCAACGCTAACTGGATCATCTTCAACACTCACTAGATCAACATCGGTGATGACTGGATCAACTTCAACGCTAACTGGATCATCTTCAATACTCACTGGATCAACATCGGTGATGAATGGATCAACTTCAAAATTAATTGGATCATCTTCAGCACTCACTGGATCAGCATCGGTGATGACTGGATCAACTTCAAAATTAATTGGATCATCTTCAACACTCACTGGATCAACATCGGTGATGACTGGATCAACTTCATCGCTAACTGGATCATCTTCAACACTCACTAGATCAACATCGGTGATGACTGGATCAACTTCAACGCTAACTGGATCATCTTCAATACTCACTGGATCAACATTGGTGATGAATGGATCAACTGTAAAATTAATTGGATCAATTTCGTCAATGCTTTTGACATATTCTTCTTGGTTCAGTATAGATTGATTGTTCAAGGTTACAGGCTCTTCTAAAATACTGAAATAACAATCTTCTTCAACAGCATTAGAGCTTTTTATGATTCCAGAAGATTCTTCAATGGTTGTGTAAGGTTGCTTTTCTATATATGCACAATTCTTCTTTTTCTCTTCCAAATCCCCTGCTCCAGAAGAAACTTCCTCTTCTATAGCAACAGGTACTGTAGCAGTTTTATCTTCAACCTCTTTATTGTCAAGATGCTCCTGCTCTTCGCTAGCAAGTATTTCGGTACAATATTCAGTTGTTGATTCCTCTGGACTATAAGCAAGGTGTCCTGATAGAGTATTAGTGTTAATTGAGTTGCTGAGTGGTTTTGCGTCTCTAGCAATAGGTTCTTCTACAATCATCTCACAATCATCTTGCTCTGGGCTAGCAACTTCAGATACCTCATCAATATGATTAGGTTCCTCATGCAGAGAGATATATTGTTCAGAGGGAGCGGCAGCACCATCTGTTATCTTGTCATGAGGTGTAGGACTCTGGTCAAAAGTGAGCACGGACCCAGTATTAGGACTTATCTCTTTTTTAAACAAATTCTGATCCTCTTCCTGTTTTTTTTCTGAGTTAAAGTCAGAAATTTCGATTGGTGAGTGTGTTTCAGTAGTGGGTTTGTATAATTCCGGACCAGTTTCTGGTTTTGTATTGGGTGACATATCTGAGTTCTCATCTTGACTCAAATACTCGCTCAGGTCAGTTTCTGAAACATCCTCATAGTCAGGAGCAGTAATTATCTTTTCTTCCTCGTTTGATCTATTTTCCGCAAGGTAAGCACTTAAATCGGTATCAGATACTTCTTCGTATATCTGAGGTTTTACAGTGGGTTCTGGGATAACAATTACACTGTCATCTGATGATGGAGTATAACCCTGTAGCTGTTCTGAAAACATTGTGTGCACGGATTCTTGATACAACTCTTTATCAGAGGCCATTCTCTGAAAATAGTTGCCAGAAAGTCTCTCTTCTCCACTCTCGGGTAGAACTACAAAGCTTTCCTCATTTTGTGGTATGTCAAGTGACTTGTAAAGGAAGGAACTCTCTCCAACTCCCTCATATAGTCCCGTCTCAACTGAGTCTAGTGTAGGGGTTACTGCTGCTACTGGCACAAACCTGTCCAGGTGAATGTCCTCAAGATCGTGTAACTCTTCAGAGGGGGCAGGTTGTTTTACTAAAGGATCTTCTGTTGCCTGGTCAAACGAATAATTGTACTTGTCTTCAAAATATTTAGCAATTTCAGACATATCAATGTCTTTTGGAACAGGTTTTGGTGATTTGCCTCTCAAAACCTCGAGATCCTGATCTAACAATTCATCAAACTGCGAGATGTTGCCATCAAACTGATCCTCTTCTTCAACACCAAGTCCACGCTCAAGAAATTTCTTCTCTACTTCACCATCAGGTCCACCACTAAGAAGCCCAGCCTCTTCTTCACCATCAATCGCACCACCCAACAAGTCCTCCTCTTCTTCTTCACCATCAAACGCACCACCCAACAGTTCCTCTTCTTCTTCTTCACCATCAAACGCACCACCCAACAGTTCCTCTTCTTCTTCACCATCAAACGCACCACCCAACAGTTCCTCTTCTTCTTCACCATCAAACGCACCACCCAACAGTTCCTCTTCTTCTTCCTGAGAAATGAATACAGTAGAACTGTTCTTATTTGCCTCTGCCATCAGCAAGTTTCCTAAGTTGTGTATCTCTGTTCGTACCTCTCCTGGCACATAAGGACTGGTGTTCTTGGAGAGAGAATTTCGTTTCTCCAGGGAGCAATCGAGGTCTAGTTTAGTGATACTATCACAGAGATCTGTGATACTGATATTATGGGACGTCTTCACCACTTCTACTTCCTGGTTAAACATCTGATCAAAATCCTCTGCAAAATTTTCTATCTTGTGAGCCAACAGCTCTTTCTCGGTAGATTCTCCCACCTCTTCATAGCCTACCATTCTCTGACAAGATGGTGACTTCTCACAAGGATTCTCCAGAGAGCGCCGTATCTCTGATTTGGGAGTGAGGTTCAACTTCTTGATGTCTAGTAACATCCCTGTGTTGGGCGTTGCCTTTGGAGAGTGCACATCAACGTGTTCTTCCTCGTACAATGGTCCTGAAGAGTAAAATATTGTTTAAAACTGTTCAATTCGACTGAATTGGAAATTTACTCAATTAAATCTATCGATAAAGTGCTCAATTATTTATGACGGTATTATGGGGAGATCTTCTCTAAATTATGTTTAGTTTGTGATTGCCAAGACTCAGGACGATCCTACTAAAAGGTCGAAGGAGATAAAAATTATCATTGCATTGTTGGGAAATCGCAGTTTAAATTCGAGTATGCCATAGAATTACACCTACAGCTGACCTTCAAGGACCCGTAACTTTGGTAAGGATCAATATTTTTTTATGAGTTACGGAAATCTGGTAGATCAATTTCCATGATTGACAATATTGGTACCCACCCCCCGGCTCCCTTGACAAGCTTAGAGTTGGCTAAATTATAATTTAATGTATTCCTTAACTTACTGAGAGGTGTTGCAGGTTGGGAGAGAGAGGGAGTAGCATTCCTAGAGCGAGCTCCAAAAGAAATCTCATCATCAGAATAGTCACTGAAAGAAATGTAAAAATAAATGACCCCTCTCACCCTTAAGGTATGTTTCTATCTAAAAGAGGGAGCCATGGCCAATTTAGGCTACATTTAGATGTACTAGTTAGTATATATACTATATAATATAGAACTTAGATGTACCAAAGTAGGTATTATCAACTACCATCGTCCATAATGATACATTATTATGACAAGATTTTGAGCAACATACCATTATTATTCATTTTGAATAAAGCCAACAAAACTTGTTAATTACATTATTAATTGACAGGCTTTCTAAAAACAAAAAATTTTAGAAATTCAGTAACTTACCTGCATGTATTTGTAGATAATCGTTTGGTTTCCATTAAAACATACACATAAAAACCTGAGATATCAAATTAGTAGTGGTAATAATTTCAGAATTCGATAGCTTTCGGTGATAGTTCTGAATTCTGGTTTTCAGTTAAACCAACAATTTTTAGATTAAATCATAAAATGATGAAACATATAAATGCTAGGCGCAAAACTTTTTTTGTGAAACTTGATTTTGAGACTGCAGCTGACCGACAAACTAGGGCCTATGACCAAACTTCTGAGCGGGGTCCAGACTCCACCTGCCCATCAGTACGGTGCCTGCTGCGCAATACAGCCTACTAAATTTTGCCAAATAACTTAAACATGTAAAAAACCAAGCTTTGAGGTACTCTACAGTCTACATGTACTAGTCTCGATCTCCTGAACACGTACACAACCTTTGATCGAAATTCAAGGCCTAAATCAAAATTCCCAATAGCTACATTATATTCTATTGTTAATCACGGAGAATATAATGCAGATTAAAGTTTGCGTCATCCGCAAACATTAATATTCGACCAATTTATGATTGGTCATTGGACGACGTACTAGATACTGTTGTCCAGAAGCGATCCCTGCCAAACCAACCTAAAGTAAGTATATGTCGATACCTGGGTTCCTTTATTGGTACAGAGTCTGGAAAGAATAATTTTATCCAAGCCAAATGTGTTGAATGGATAGAAGAGATCAAGGGATTGGCATCAATTGCACAGCATGAGCCACACCTTGTTTACGCCGCTTTTGTTTACGGCTCCTCCCGCAGATGGTCTTTCCTGATGAGGACCACCCTTGACATAGCAGTGAACTTGCAGCCAGTGGCGTAACGTTGCCTGTTGGCGCCCCCCTGCTGAAAAATGCGCCCCCCTGTTGGCGCCCCCTCCCCTTTTGGTGCCCCTCCCTAAAATTGAACAAATTAGGTGATTTTAAAGAATACTCCGGTAAAATCTCTAAAAAAGTGTTTATCTAGAGCAAAACGCGCAGTTTTGCTAGTACTTTAGTTAAGTTTTCGAAATTGTCCCACATTCAAACGACGATTTGGCGCCCCCCTAAGACGGCGCCCCCCTGCACAGCGGGGTCAGCAGGGCCTTTCGTTACGCCACTGCTTGCAGCCCATTGAGGACAAGATCAGGAATTTGCTCATTCCCAACATGACAGGACACACAATTCGGTCAAACCTTGAGCGCAGTCTGTTCTCCCTCCCAGCCAAGTTAGGTGGACTAGCTATCATCAATCCAGTAGAAATTGCTGATAATGAGTACAAGAACTCACTCATGGCTAACCAGCAGCTTACAAAACACATCCTGAAGCAACACACCACTCTCAATACCAACAGAGAGGCTGGGAAAGCAGTCAAGTCTGCCATTAGCCTGTCAAATGCCAAGAGGTATGAGTCACTCAAAAACCAGCTGATGAACGATCTTCCACCTTCGATCAGTGAGAAGATCCCACATGCATGTGAAAAAGGTGCATCAAGCTGGCTGACCGGACTTCCCTATGAGAAGTACGGCTTTGTCTTGAACATGCGAGGGTTCAAAGACGCTATAGCACTGAGATATGCTCTACCCATTGCCAACATAGCCAAGAAATGCATTTGTGGCAAAGATAACACCTACAACCACATTCTTATTTGCAAGAAAGGAGGCTTTGTCAACAGCAGACACAACCGACTGAGAGACACTGTTGCAAGCATACTTGAAAAAATCTGTAATGAGGTTGTTGTAGAGCCACACTCCAGCCATGCACTGGAGAAAGCCTTCCTGGATGATGGGGCAAGGCTCGACATAGCATCTAGAGGTCTGTGGTCACCAATAGAGATGGCATTTTTTGATTTCAGGGTTTTACGCCCCGGAGCCAAATCCAACGCTAATCACAACACCCCAGCAAAGATGTACAGTAAGCATGAGAGAGAGAACGAAAGGAAATATGGAGACCGCTGTGTACAGATTGAAAAAGGAACCTGCAATGGCCTTGTATTCTCGACCACCGGAGATATGGGCCCACAGGCTACCATGTTCCTTAAACGAGTAGCAACACTTCTGGTAGCCAAGACCAGCCAGGACAAAAGCCTCATTATGGCAAATCTAAGACGTCGTTTGCGGTTTGAGCTACTTAAGACATAATAATAAATAATAAATACAACATTTATAAACCGCCTTATAGCTAAATCATATAACTCGATATAATTTAATCCTGGAGATAAACTCCAGTGCTTTCTAAAGCGGCTCTTACATTAACTGAGCTTAGTTTAATTGAAAATTAGACATGACAAGTTCATTAGACAGTATTAGTAAAAGTGTGTCAAACAGTGCAGTATATATACATTTAATTAAGTCAAGTGGTGCAATTGGCAGAGCACAATCAAAAAGAAAGTAACAAAAACGGTTGCTGACACAGCATTTGGACTTATACCTAGTATGACCTCTCATGAGTGCCGTTAAATTATTAACAGGAAAATTGTTTTAATTTTGGTTGATCGAATGTTTTATATCAGATGTTGATTTCTTAAAGATAGGTGTATATTTTTGCTATTATTTCCATGAAAGGGGAGGTACGGATAAAGTACCAAACCTTATTGTGTATATGTGGTTGCAACTCCGGTAAATGATGAAACATGTCTCTTATGAGAGTGATACCGTGAGTTGTTTCCTTTTTTCTTTTTTTTTCTTTTTAAAAAAAATTTTAAGTGTTGCAATTGGCAGAGCACAATTCATTGCTACCAATGATTTTTTTAAAAACATTTTAACAAAACACATGATCTACTCCATTAAGACAGTATTGATTGCAGTACTGGCGGCCAACTGGCGGCCAACTCAGTTGGACTCCACCTCAACGAGGGAAAAACTAAGTACATGGGAATCAACATAAGAGATGATGACAACCCGACTCTGGTTGCTGGGAGTGGGAAGAACATTGAGAAAGTCGATGACTTTGTATATTTGGGTAGTAGAATGAAGAGTTCGGAGAAGGACTTCGAAGTGAGGAAAGCTAAGGCATGGGGAGCGTGTCACCAGATGAAGCTTGTATGGAAGTCGGATATGCGAAGAGATCTCAAGATACGACTGTTCCTGGCTACAGTCGAGTCCATCCTTCTATATGGCTCTGAAACATGGACTGTCAGCCAGACCCTCGCAAAACGTATTGATGGATGTTATACGAGAATGCTGAGGATGGCACTTAACATTGACTGGAAAGAGCGGCAGACTAACGCCAAGGTGTATGGACACCTCATCAGAGCATCTGATAAGATAGCTGCACGGAGGATGAGACTCGCAGGTCATTTAGCCAGACATGAGGAACTATTGGGTTATCAACTTCTCTTAAAGGCAAAAACAAGTTTTTGCCTTTAAAACAAGTTTTTGCCTTTAATACCTTCAGCATTTAGGGCCTTTTCACAAGAATTTTCTTAAATTTTGGGCTTAACGGGTGCCGAGTCACGATCTGGTTGACGGTTCGTTTGTCATAGTCATACAAACAAATAATTTGAGCTATATAGCATTATGAACGATAAAGGAGAGATGATGGCTGGAGAGAGGGAGGAGAAGAAGAAAGAGGAATTCAGGACGATGGTGGGAGGAAAGTCGCTGACTACAGCTGAGATGGAGCCAGACAGGATAGACAAGGAACTCACCAGACTCAAAAACAGAGAAAGGAACAACAGAAGAAGAAATCAGTCAAATACCGATAACTCTGGTAAGCCTCGTATTAAGAATGCAGTTAATAGATTCGACCCTTACAACTCTGCAACATGCAGACTCATACAGACCAGTTCCAGGCCCTCTGGTGAGTCGGCATCCACTAGTGGAGTCGCCGACTTAGTAGAGGAGCCCGGGACATCCAAGGCTGTCCCTAACGGGGCGCCCAGCTCAGGTGTTTACACCGCAGACCCCGACTTGACTCTCCTAGTTACTTATACTAGGACAGACTGTAGAATACTGACTAGAGAAGACGTATTCCATATCCATGCAGAGATCGCTATAGCGGAGGTAGATCTCCTAGAATCTTTAGACACAAACCCGCATGATATTAAAAGTGCTAAACGAGACAGACACGGGAGGGGTTACGCCCTTTCTTGTAATAACCTAACAGCCCTCAGCTTCTACCAGAAAGCCATCGAAACACAGAAAAATAACCTTCCTGACGACCACTCGGGATTCAAATGCTTCAAACCAGGAGAACGACCTCTTGGACACAAAATTATGGGCAAGATATACCTGGCCCACAGAAACCTTATTGACAAGATACATTTAGCCTTCGCAGCAGGATCATGTGGAGAAGTTAACCGCAAACAAGTATCGATTTTCAGACCTGGTAAGCTTTCTTCAGATAACTCCATGCTCCAAGTTTACTTGGAATTAGACGAGAACGCCTTCAGTTGGCTTAGAACCCACAACTGGACCTCAAGGATCGGAGGGTCCACTGTTACGTGGAGAGCTCCAGGCATCCCTGGATTGACAGGTATCTACAGACCCGACGAAGACCTTTATGCTATCAAGGCTCAGATGATAGCCTCACTCAACAGTATCACGCCACAGACCAGAGACAAAAACGACCCGTGGGACTTAAAGAAGATCTCCCCAGCGGTGATAACCTCCTCTGAGTCTCCAGCGGAGCTGATGGCCGATCTGGACATCGGATCCGCTACAGATACAGAGGATAGACTGCTCAACACCCCAACAAAGGACAAAGGGGAAAAAACTCCCACACCCCGGAGCAGCCCTAACGATCACTCGCCTACAAGAAAGATTCAAAGGAGCCGTAACAACAGTTACGCTAAAGACTCTCCCTCCTCATCACCCGAGGACATAACTTCAGCTTAACGCTAACCTCAGTTTTACGTTTTCTCTTGAAATCTTCTTTACAAGACCTTGTTTCTCTCTTTCGATTTAAATATGACTGTCAACACTAATGTTTCAAATTCTAAACTCCCAGCCACACCTATCATTCAAGCTAACCTTCGCAAAATGACCACAGCTACAGCCAGCATACTCAAAGACCTCAAACCATCCACTATTCTCTTATTAACAGAACCATATCATGGGCACATATTAGGTGCGATGGGTG